TCCCATGAGATCGATCTTACCCGGCCTCAAAGCGTCTCGGGCTCCCTTGTCTTTGTTTCCCTTTTCTTGCACATCCCTTCATGAGGGCTCTGAGCTTGGTCGCTCCACGCTCAGTCTCCGCCAACAACTTGCCTCCTGCCTTTTACGTTTCAAATCAGTTGCCGGTGGCTGATCGCCATCGCTGCCTGCAAGCGTGCTGGGCTGCCTGCGCCCCGCTCTCTTCCTCTCCCAGCAGAACCAGTTTAACCCGACTCCTGTGCTGGCCAGGATGGCACAAAGCAGCGACGAACAGGGGCTGCCGTGGTTAAAGCCGTCCTCAGAGCTTCGCTAACATCAGCGAACGCACGCCCAGCTGTTCTTTCCCACACTGAGCATTTTACAGTTTACCGAGCTAAGAGGATTTTGCTTTTCTCCTCTCTTTAAATCCAACGCAGGGTCAGTTTAATACTGGATTCGCTCCCTGTTACAGTGAGGCTGAGAATAATGGAGTAATTGGTATTTCCCATCACTAAATACTGAAATCCCCATGCTTTCTGGCTATGCAAATACCAGTTGAGGGCTCCTACAAGCCAGGAGGCAGCCCGGCGATGGCAGCAAGACCTGGATGTCAGCAGAGATGCTCCCCGCAGTGACCTGCAGGACATTTCTCCTCCCAAATGTGCCTTTGGGTCACCAGGACGCATCCTGAGCTCCCCGTGCAGCGGTCCTGTGCTGGGGGCTGGCTCCCAGGGATGGTCCAGGAGGGTTTGGGAATGGTCCCGCAAGCCTGACCCTCCTTATCGCGGGTCCCGGGAGGCTGGAGGTGGGACAGCAAGCGTGGGATTCATCTGACCACGTGTAGATGTGTACGACCGGAGCACGTCTGGGCTGCAGCTACAGTCAAAGGGAGCCAGCCCGTACCGTGGTGGAGGACGTGGGTGAGTTAAGCACCGAACACGGGGAAAGGAGGCGGCCAACCTCATCTTCCCAATATTCCTCAAAGGCAAGGGGAGCTGCTGGGGCTGTGGGGCCAGCCCTCAGGCCAGGAAATCGCGTCGGGGCTGTTTAAAAGGCCGCATGGGGAAGACGCGGCGTTGCCACACTGGTGCGGTCCGGCGAGGTGGCGGGATGCGGGTTTGTGGTGGGCTGGGAGCGTCTGGGGCCGCACACGGGGCGAAGCGGGTGCCTCTGCCGGCATGGTGGGGGCCAGCACCCTGTGACGATGGCTGCGGCTGTGCACGGCATGTGTAAACCCAAGCCAGCAAAGATACCATGCTGGAGAGGACACGGGCACAGAGATCCCACCCCACCAGCTCCAGGTATCAGATAAATCCCCAGCCTCCACTCCCAGGGAAGGCTCCCAGCAGCTCGGGGAAGGAGGGCCAAACCCCGGGTCCCAAAGGAGCAGCATCCCACACTGAGGGTGCTGAGCACGGCTCAGGGTGCGCACAGCCTGCCAGGGACCACGGAGCCGCTGCTCCCACCCCTTCTCCCCTCCTTCGCTCTCCCGGCCAGGGCTCAGCCGGTGAATCAGGTCTCTGGCTGTTTTGTTTCAGGCAGCCGGAGCTCGTCAAAAGGAAGAAAGGCTCCTTGTCTCGGGGTCGCGGCTCTAATCCTGTTATGTGTCTGCGAGAGAAAGGAGGACGACGGAGCGAGGAGGACAGACCCGGTACCGATGCCAATTCCCTTCCCTTCGCACCCCGCGTCCCGTGCCAGCCCTTGCCCAGCCACAAAAGGCCACCTCCCCTCCCAGCAAACTAACCAAGCATTTAAATTTAATAGCTGTCCGCACCCTCGCTGTTTCAAAGCGATTAGGCGTTTGATTAAAGCCCATGTGTTGCTTTGCTGGCTGGGAGGCAAATTCCTCCGCAGGGCCCATGAAGTTGGTTCTGGTGACCAGTGCAGCGCACAGTGGATGCTCTTCACCGTCCCCACTGCTCTCCCTGTGTCAGATGAGGTGCTGACAGGGAGCCCAGCCCTCTGGGTAACCCTGGCTCTCCCCTCCATCCTGATGCACCCGCGCGTGCAAACCGTGCTCCTCCCTCCTTCGGTGCTCCGGCAAAGCCAGAGGAGGAGGAGATCCCACGGGCTGGGGACATGCCGTCGTCCAGGGGGGAAACCGAGACACGTCGAGGGATGCTGATCCCAGAGCGAGATGGGGCTCCAGGCCTGGCGGCCAACTGGAGCGAGATGGGGAACGGAGGTTGTGTCTTCATGCGGGAAACGGGAGCATGCTGGGTAGGTGAGTAGGGTCCGAAGCAGGGGGCACAGCAAGGAAGGGGGTCAGACCGATGCCCCAGAGCGGAGGGACAGGGGGACAAATACCCCCAGCTTTCCTAACATGCATTATGAACAGGAGCTTCCTTAGACCTGCTTAAAGCCTCGTGACCCAATTTTGCCCTGAATCCCTACAGCCTGTGTGGGTGAGCAGCTGCAGCCGAGGGTGCCGGGCCGAGGCTGACACCCGTCCCCTCGGCTCCTCCTCGCGTCCATCCCTCACTGCTCTTAAACGAGGGGTTAACGCCGCGGAGTTACAGCCTTGGCTTTGCACAGAGGCTGGTCCGCCGCTGTCCTTCGCTGCCCACCACACCTTGGCCACGTCCTGGGCTCTTCTGAAAGGGCAAAAAATGGGTGGTGAAGGACGAGCACCCCCAGTTGCCACTTTGCCCACCTGGGAGGCTCCCAAGGTGGGTGCCTCTGTGTCGAGCCAGGGTGGATCCGTGATGAATGGACTGTGCCGGGATGGATGGCCTGTGCTGGGACGGATGGGCTGTGCCGTGCCGGCAGCGCGATGGAGGGCTGTGCCGTGCCAGCCTCACCTCCAAGCAGAAGAAGGAGCACAGCAGAGGTGGCTGCTTCCCCAAATCACCCAAAGGGCGAAGGCAGCCCTGTTCCCAGACAGGAGACCGGCCTGCTGCTGGCCAGCAAAACAGGGATGAGGTTTCTCTGTCTGGTCAAGAGACCAGCGTTGTGCCAGCTGCTTCTTCCCTGCAAAGGAGATTTTCTTGCCTCCCCAGGTAGCGTCCGGCTGGACCTGCAGGTGCCGTCAGGACGGATCCCAGCGAGGCATGGAGAGTTTCCAGAGCTCACCTCGCAGCTGCATGTTCGCCGGTTAGACTCGCTCCTCGGCCGCCCCATCCCACCCCGCGTCTCCCTGCACCCAGCCCCGCTGATTCCCTCCAAGGGCAGCTGGAGATGTGGGGTGGCCTCCCCCATCCCTGCGGTGCCCCTTCCCTCCTCTTCCCCGCAGCCCCGCAGGTGTTTTGCACCCACAGCCCCATGTCATTCCCCATCCCCTCCAACATCCCCTTCCTTACACATGCCCGTAACCGTTTCTTCTTCCCTCGCTCCTCGTACGCAAGCATGGGTCCTTCTCCCTCCTGTCATAGCGACGCTCATCCCTCTCCGTCTCCCTTTCCCTCCTGCCCAGTCCCATGGGAAGCTCGCACCCAGCATCTGCCCATGCCGGGGACAGCCTGCCTTCCCATGAGGCTTTCTCAGGCATCAGCATCTCCTCTGCGCTCAGCCGGGCTCCTGCTCCCCCAACACATCGCTCTACCCCCGAGCTTGGCCCCAGCCATCTTTTATTGCAGCAGCCGTGCTGCCCCAGTGCTTTATCCATGATTTTACCTGTCGTACGGCTCCGTGCTGGAAGGGGAACAGCAAAACCAAAGCCGCAACAGTGCTGGCCAGCCGCTTGCTCCACTTTGCATGACCCTGGGGATCGCCTGTTGGCTCCCACCGCCACCCCTCATGTTTTAATCTCCCTGAATGAGCTGAGAATTAATTATTTAGGAGCTCGTGGAAAGCATCGGGAATGTCTAAAACACACTGAGCTGCGGCTTTAGCCCCTACCTGCCCCGGGGAGATTGCCCGCTGCATCCCTAATGTGCGGCACGCTTAATATTGTATGTTGATTAATTGCTTCATTTCCTCTCTCCCGAGGAGCCGTGAGTTTTGGCTCATGGGTGAATCCGTCTCCGGAAGAAATCGGCTCCTGCAGGAAGCGAGACGGAGCCGTGGCCAGAGAGGAGGGTGGTGGGAGTGCTGGGGTCCCGCAGGGAGAGACCCCCGCCACGCTTGGTCCCGGGGCAGGGCGATGGCAATCAGGGGGCTGCTTCGGATTTACCCCAGCAGAGGCTGGGCCAGCGTCCCCAAAGCTGCCAGGGGTTTTGCCGGATGGAAACGAGGAGCAGGGGGGTGACAACCCCAGGGAATTTCGGCTGCAGAGCCCAAAATCCCACGGGCATCCCGGGCAGCTCCGTCTGAAGGAGGCTGTCTGGGCAGGAGGTGGCCAGGAGCCCGCTGTCGGTGATGGTCACAGCCCTGTGCACCCAAGCCTTGCAGGGGCACCCCGTGCCGGGGATGGGGACAGAGCAGGCCCCATGAGCAGGGTGCAGCCCGGGCACCTCTGCCAGACATCCCAGGGTGTCCTGCTGCACCCCAGCGTGTCCGGGATGGCAGCACCCCGCGTTCCGGCGGGACGCATTGTACCCCTGGCTTGGCAAAGCCGGGGAGGGCAGGGACCGGGCGCCCACCACCCCCCGGGTGACGCTCGGATGGGACCTGGGGGGAGCAGGGACCAAGGACCTGCTGCGTCCGTGTCAGGAGATCGCAGGCACTGGCAAGAGGCTTAACTTTAAAAAAAAAAAAAAAGTTTTATTTCAAGATCTTCCTTTTTTTTGTTGTTGTTGTTGTTTTTACTTGTATTTCAAAAAAAGTGGGGTAAAAGTACAAAAAAAGTCAGTTGCGGAATGGCAAAGGTTTAGAAATCACAGCGCTGAACTAACCCAAGCGATAGACACGGAGCACAAACCAAACACCCCCACGACACGACGCGGCCAAAGACCATTTACAGCCTTTGACTTTGTATTATTATTAATTAATTTTTGTTTTCCTCTGTACAAAACACACCAAAGCATGCCACAGAGCGGGAAAAAAGAGATACCGGACGGGGAGGAGACCGGAGATTTGTAGAGCAGGGGACGGGAGGGCTGGCTCCCGCTCTTGCCTCCTTCTCCTCCCCTGCTCACGTCAGGTTGTTCTGCAGGCAGTTGAGCTCGCCGCCGTCCTGCTCCCCTTTGCCGCCGTCGTGCTTGGGCGACGTCGAGTTGTGGATGTTGAATGGCTCCTCCTCCTTCAGGCAGGATTTCAGGGAGTCCTGCAGCTTGTGGGGAGCGCTGGGGTCATCCTGCCAGGAGAGACGGGGTGTCAGGAGGTGACCGTGCCGTGGGGGACACCGCTGTAATGGGGGGGTGACCCGCAGCGGGGACTGGGTGACGGCACCGACATCGCCGCTGGCCACCCAGCATCCCGACACGGGCTCTGCCGCAGGGCTGCCCAAAGGCGAATACAAACATCCCCCCTCCGAACGCGCGCAGCTTGGCACGGGGGCGAGTGTGGCGCTCACGGCACGGCGGGGAGCCAGTGGGCGACGGGGTCCCCCCCGCCTACGGTGACTCGCTGCCAGTCCCCGCCACGGGTCCCCACCTTGGGGCTCCTCCAGCACCCAAAGCCTTTTGCCAACAGCACCCAAGAGCCACGCCGGCCACGGGAGCCGTCCCACCCGCCACCCCTCCAGCCGCCCCCGCCGTCCTCCCGCCACCCAGTTTCTCTTCCCATGTCCAGCCTGGCTCGTCTCATCATCCCCGCGACAATTAGCAACTCCCCGAGCGGCGCTTGGCAGGAGGCCCGAGGGGTTGGATTTATTGCAGTTCGTTAGCGTACAGCCGGCCCCACCGTGCCGCTGGCCGGATCCGCCGGCAGCAAAGCCGGGGATGCCTCTTCCCGACATCCCCGCACCGCTGCTAGGAGCATCTTCCCCGCTGGGGTTGGGCTGCGCCCCGAGTTTGTCCCGCATCCATGGGGAGAGCGGCTCCCCCGGCACCGGGGCCGAGCTCTGGCTGTGCTGGGTCACATCTGTGCCTGGACGGTCCCGGCGTCGCTGTCGGCGCTGGCGGGGGGGGGGGGGGCCCGGGGGGGGGGGGGGCGGGGGGGGGGGGGGGGGCCGGGGGGGGGAGGCACCCGCCGGCATTGCAGTGGTTATGGTGTTCCCGGTGCTGAGTGGTGACCGGTGGATGGATGGAGACACCCAAGGGCTGGTGTCACACGAGGATGGGAACCCTCCATCTTCTGGGCAGTGACCCTATGAGCAGCGCCCGGCCAGGCCAGGGCTTGTGCCATCGGCTCCACGGCAAAGCCCGTGGGATGGGCACCACAGCCGGGGCACCGAACTCCATCGCCCAGCGGAGGGGCTGCACCGCATGTCCCCAAAAACCCCTTTCGCAGGGGCGTTGACCCCCCTGTCCCCTCCGCATCCTCGCTGCGCTGTGTCCCGGGCACCGTGTGCCACCGTAGGACTGAGCCCTCCGCATCCTGGAGGGGACGAGGGACGGGTCAGACCCCAGTGAGATGCCAGGGAGCGGCACCGAATTCATCCCAAGGTTCATCCTCTCCGCAGCGGGGAGCGAGCTGGCTCTGGGAGCCTCCTGCCAGGGTGGCCGGGCCGAGCGGCGGCAGACGCTACGGCTGCTAAAGGCGGTCGAAAGATGGGGAAAACCAGCTCTGGGCTAAGGCAAAGGCTAGAGGGACCTACGCTCCTCCTCCAGCTCACGCTGGGCAAAGCCCTTCGCTTCTCTCTGTTTCGATTCAAAAGACAGGAGGTTGGAAGGGCAGCCCTGGGGGACGCCGGCGGCCACATCCCGACCATGCCAGCAGCATCCCGGAGTGTTTCACCCTCCAGCATTGCCCGCTGCTGCCAGCCATCGTCTGCCGGTCCTGCCCCAGCGATGCCGCAGACGGGGAGCATTGTCTGCCGGAGCCACACCGCACCAGCTGTCCCCTCCCCGAGAATGCCGGCACAGCCACCCCTGCCACCCGCACATGGAGATAAAACCACCGGGCAAATCTGGATGGTGGTTCCCCGGGTTGCCATGCGGGCAGGAGGGGACGGGGCACGGGGACAGCAGGGTGACACCGACCCCCTGCCTGGCTCGGGTCTGGTTTGGGTACTCGGGAGAGGATGCGGCACGGCAGGACCCGACAGAGGGGACGGAGCAGTGGCCATGGCAGGACAAGGACAGGAGGGTGCAGAGGGGCCCGGTGGTGACACAGTCACCCAGGCAGTGCTGGGACCACGGGTGGGGGGGACAGACGAGACATTACCGGACAGAGGGACACGGGTAGGACAGCAAGTGGGAGCGGGGGACGGTGCCACGAAGCCTCCTTACGTTTGGGTGGGAGCCCTCGGCGATGGTGGAGAGGGAGAAGTTGTCGTTGTGCAGCTCGGACGGGGTGCGGTATCTGCCGGGGGGAGAGGAGAGCACAGCGGTGAGAGCGGGGACGCCACCGAGCACCCCCCGTGCCCCCGGCTGCGTTTTGGGGTGAACCCAGTGTTGGTAGGGTAAATGGTCCCAGCGCTGGAGGTCTGGGGGCTAAATGCTCCCAGATCTGGGGGGCTGGGGCTAAATGCCCCCAGCTATGGGGATTTGGGGGCTAAATGTCCCCAGGGATGGAGATTTGCGGGCTAAACGCCCCCAACTCTGGGGGTTTGGGGCTAAATGCCCCAGATCTGGGGGTTTTGAGGGGCTAAATGCCCCCAGATCTAAGGTTTGGGGGTTAAATGTCCCCAGGTCTGGGGTTTGGGGCTAAATACCCTCAGCTGTGGGGATTTGGGGCTAAATATCCCAAGCTCTGGGAGTTTGGGGCTACATACCTCCAGCTCTGAGGATTTGGGGGGCTAAATGTCTCCAGATCTGGAGGTTTGGGGTAAATGCCCCCAGATCTAGGGTTTGGGGGCTAAATGTCCCCAGCTGTAGGGTTTGGGGCTAAATAACCTCAGCTGTGGGGATTTGGGGCTAAGTGTCCCCAGCTTTGGGATTTGGGGGCTAAATGTCCCCAGGGATATAGGTTTGGGGCTAAATGCCCCAGATCTGGGGGCTTGGCAGGGGTAAGTGCTCACAGATCAGGGAATTTGGGGCTAAATGCCCCAGATCTGGGGGCTGGGGGTTAAATGACCCCAGCTCTGGCATTTTTGGGGCTAAATGCCCCAGATCTGGGGGTCTGGGGGACTAAATGTCCCCAGATCTGGGGGGTTGGGGCTAAATACCCCCAGCTGTGGGAAGGTGCAGGCAGGCGCAGGCAGGCGCAGGCAGGGGAGCGGTGAGAGCAGCCTGGGGCAGGCAGGAGCTGCAGGGCCGGAGAAGGAGACCCACGGGCTGGCACGGAGCTTCGCTGCTAATTACACTTGGCACTTCCAAACGCTAATTAACAGCTCATTAGGGCCCGGGCTGGGAGGGCTTTCTCCTCCCCGGCTCCAGGGAGGTGGGCAGCGATTGCTGGGGCAGGGGGTGACCCCAATCTTCCCCTGTCACCCCCAGCCCTGTCCCCGGGGACACAGCGGGGACCATCTCCAGTAGCCCCTGGGCAGCATGGTGAGCCCAGCCGGTGGCCCCAGCTACCAGTGCAACAGATTAACTGGTGCCAGTCAGGAGCAGCTTTAAAGGATTAAACGTGGAGCTGGAACCACAAGCCACATCCCCGCAGGGCACCCGCTGCCGGGAGCTTTCCCACCCACCGTCACCTTGTCCCCATCGGCACCGGGGGCCTCGATGACACTGCACGGGGATGGGACCGCATCCAGCCCCAGTGCCACCGCCGGGAGCTGAGACCACCCGAACCGCTGTGGCTATCGAGGTGCCACCCCGCAGCGTTTGGGGACAGTTTTGGGGGTGCCGGCCCTGTCCCGATGCCACTCACTTGGTCTTGCGCAGTTTGCTGTTCTCCGTCTTCAGCAGGTAGAGCTTCTTGGCGAAGAAGACGGTGAGCATGAAGAGCAGCAGCACCACGAGGGCGGCCGAGCCCACGGCCACGCACATCACCTGGAAGTCAGTGACGATGGCCTCGCAGCGCGTGCCCTTGTGCCACGTGTAGTCCTGCGTGTTGCACCTGCGAGGGGAGGCGGTTAGGGACCCCCACCCCAAAAACCTGTCCCCATCCCACAGAGGGGGACACCGGCATCTGTAATCGGGGAGATTACGGGGGATGAGATTAATGGGTCCCCAAGGGCCACCCTGAGAGGGGTGACCCCCCCCAAAACGCCGGGGCCAAGTGAGATGGGTGACAGTGGGGGACGCCAGGAGCGGGGTCAGGGTCCCCGCAGGTGATGCTCGTCCCCTGCACCCGTGGCTCCCGGCCCCACGCAGCCCCGGCGGCGGTGGGGAGCGGGGTGGCCGGGGGGGACGGGGAGGGGACAGCCCCGTCACGCCACACACCCGCGTCCCCCCGTGCAGGCGGGCTCAGCGCCAGCCACATGGCGCGTGCCGAGCCGTACGGCACAGCCGGCATCGGCCCTCCCTGAGCGCAATCTGCCGGGGCCGATTAGCGCGGCGGCCCCGGAGCCTCAGCTGCGCGGCCCTGACCTAATTCCTGCCCAGCCGCCGCTCGGGGGGCAGGGAAAGCCCCTCCGTGCCCCGGCGGGATGGGGCTGCGGGGGCAAAGGGACCTGGATGGGGTGCACGGGGATGGAGAGTCCAGAGATGGGGTACATGGGGCTGGAGAGCCTGGGGCTGGGTGCACAGGGATGAAGAGCCCAAGGATGGGGTACACAGGGATGGAGAGCCTGGGAATAGGGTGCATGGGGGATGGAGAGCCCAGGGATGGGGTGCACGGGGATGGAGAGCCCAGAGATAGGGTGCATGGGGGATAAAGAGCCTGGGAATGGGGTGCAGGAGGACAGAGAGCCCAAGGATGGGGTACACAGGGATGGAGAGCCCAGGAATGGGGTGCATGGGGGATGGAGAGCCCAAGGATGGGGTGCATGGGGATGGACAGCCCGGGAATGGGGTACAGGGGATGGAGAGCCCCTACATGCGCCCCCCCATCTCCCCGTGGGACCTGGGGTCCCCGTCCCTTACCGGCAGAAGGCCCCATGGCTCTCCACCAGGTAGCACTGGCCGCCGTTGTGGCAGTAGCTGGGCACGAGGTCGCAGATGGAGCGGCAGGAGCTGTTGTGCCGCACGTAACCGCTCCGGCACTCGGTGCCGTTCTCTGGCTGGCCCCGCTCCCCCGGCCGTGGCCGTGCCGTGGGGCTGCCCCCTGTGACGCCGGAG